ATTTCTTGGAGAGTATTGATCACAAAATTTGATATTTAAAATTCATTTTCGATAAGCATGCACCTTTAAGAATTGTACATGAACCGCTTGCACCCTGGTTATCATCCCAGCTTAAACGTATGATGAAAGACGGAGACAGAGCCTTAAATCGATTTAAAATTAATAAGACAGAAGGCTCCTGGAATCGCTAAAAAGAGCTCAGAAATTCAAGTCAAATTAGATATAAAAAAGCGGCATATTTATTATCCCACCGTCAACAAAATAATTCAAACATGTTTTATAGATCGTTAAAATGAATGCGTATCCAACAGTCACAAAACACCGATATTCCTCTACATTTAAAGAACTCTACTGACATTAATAATTATTTATATTCTATTTATAATAACGACTTTTGTTCATGCACAGAGAAGATTGAGTATTATGAAAAGAATCACTATTCTAATGATCACTTCAAGCTTAAACCAATCGACATGACTGATTTAAAATAAATTGATGTTCCAGTCTCTGAAATCGAATGCCTTGGGATCAGCCCTTTTCTCAAAGACATGAAGTGGTTGAGAGTAAATGAAGTGTGTGAGCTACACTTAGTTAGTTACACCCACAGACTTCTGCTTTAATCCATTCCGCCGTTTTTGAGAAATAAGCTGATATCTAGAAGCAATAATCATTCTAGGGACATTCAATTCAGTGAAACAGTCACAATGCCCCTTCACAGGACATCATTCTTTCGTAAATGCTTCACGTACAACGTAATTATTTTTTACAATGCTATACCTTGATCCACAAAATTGGTATCATATGATGAATTTAAAAGACATATGAAGAAAGTTATTTTAAATATGTAGAAGTATAGTATAACATTCCTTTGTTCGTATAACTGTTACAATTTATACTTTTAACTCCTGAAATATTGAATATCCTTATTCTTCACTTAGGTGTAATATACATCATATTTTTATACACCTACATTTTTAACTTTAACCTCAAGCAAATGTTTTTATGTTTTTTGTATTGTTTTTCAGTTTTTCTTTTTTTTTGGTCAAGTGGAATAATATCATTATGCTAAATTTCACCCCCTAAATAAAGACGACTTATTATTATTATCCTCCAGTGAAGTTGTGTAATCTGATAATTTTAAAATAGTTTAGAGCGTCTTCGTCTGCAGGTCGGACACATTATAACTAATACTATCCTTGACTTATCCATGTTTTTGTTAAAAGTTCAGATAGTACAAACTATACTAAGGTATTTGAGAAGGTTTGGTACTCATGAAGAACATATTGGAGCATTGAGTTCTTGCTGGAGATACCTAGTTATTTTGAGCAGTTTTTCTAGATTTTTTTTACACCGAAGTGGCCGCGCAGGAAGAAGCCAGCGCACCGCGGCTGCTATTTGTTGTTAAACTTTGTTAATCCCATTTTTGAACTACTTAAGGCTAGTAGAACTGGGAAAAGCCTTCTGGTGTTGATTATTCTACATTCTCGATACCCTAGGGCCAGTTCTAGTGTACGAAGTTGGAAACGGTTAGGATGGAAAGCCGAAGTCAAGCGTGTCTCAGGAAGCAAAGCCCGTTGGCGTAGCGGCAATAGAGTACTAGATCGCCTACGGTCCGTCGTTGCAAAACGGTCCCGAGACTTTCCGTTAGCGAAATGTCATCGATAATTTGGACAGCCCTCCTCTAAACAGTATGGACCATGGATAATGTAGTCACGGCGGCAGCATCCTATACATGTGAGCAGTACTCAAGACTAGATCATACCTGGGCCTTGAGTGAGGAGGTCATGTGAAGAAAAGTTCTTCTTAGCCCTAAAAAATAGCCCAGCAGCTGTCGCTGTTGACAATATGTGTTCGTGCCGGATCAAGTCCTCGGTGATCTGGACTCTGACCATTCGAAATCAACGATTCTTTGGTAGATCTCGGCCATACATCGAAAACGGATGAGCGCTAGGACGCTTCTTCTCGTCGGAGATCAATAACCTTTAAATGCGATTTGTGCAGAATGAAGGAAATTATTTTAGAAAATGTTGTTTATGTTGTTTCTAAGAAACACCAAATATTCAAGAACAGTCAAAGAACAAGCCTTTGAATAATCAAACGAACCACAATTTTATTTATTTATTTTTTAGGAAGCAACCTATATTATTATAATTAAGGGTTCTGGCTGCTTACAGACGCCATATCGGATTTTTGCGCAGATTAATATATTTTTTTATTTTGATTTCAAAAATTTTAATGTCATACATTGACATTGCCAAGCTTTAATTATTCCAGTAAAACAGAAGCTCCTAGGTAGGCCTTGAAATTAACAGTTTTCATTTGTTTCGTGTAGCAGACCAGATCTCAAATTGAACAGCAACAGAGTTTGCAAGGAAAGAAATAAATCGAGCAGTGAACAATGTACCGAGAAAAGTCAGGTTTTGCTTGCAAAGTAACGGACAACATTTTCAACATCTGCTATGGTTTACCTCTGCTTACTTATGATTATTATTGTTATTACCATCAATAAAAGTTACACTTTGTGTTCAGGTTTCACCAAACCTTTTTACTTCCTCATAATTATCATCGAACAACAAATTCATGGCGAACTAAGGAAATACATCACTGAATTTATGACTGAAGCGTCCCTTTAAATGTAAAGTTGGTGATGGAGGTTGAAAGAAGAAATGTAAAATTGAAAATTTGATTACGCCGTCATGTAGAGGAGAATAAGTAACCATGGTAATATGTCATTTAGTTTGAAATCTCATTTCAAATGAAGTTATTTCGAGATAAATCTGGAATGCGGAACAAATGACTATCTGATAATTTCAATACCTAGGAAATTCTGCTTTTTTGAATTAACTAGGGTTTGGCGATGTCAATGTATGACGTATCATACATTTTTGGAATTATTGAAAACTGTATCCATCTGTGCTAAAATCCAATTGGCGTCCTTAAAAAAAAATAAAGTCAATGGCGGAGGACAAGAAACTCAACGTCATAGTGAAATTTTAATTGTGCCATCTTGTATACGAGAAAGTGTCGCAGTGTTAATGTGATATTTATTTTGAAATCAAACTACAAATGAAGTCAGGGAAAATTTAAAAATATCTTGAGAAAATTTGGCTTTTCCCGTCTTAGTACTTTGGATTTCGAAGCTTTCTAAGCGGCATTTTGTTAGTTAGCCAGATACTCAACTTTGCCCCCATTTGAGCGAATTCATATCTCTTAATCCCTTACTGTTTCCCAGATTCCAGTGGTGAGGGTCGAATTTGAAACACCCGGTATAGGTGATGTTTTTTGTATTATTGGCACCCCCATAATCACCTAAAACCCAATCTGCTCGGTCGTATCGTTCGCGTGCATTTTTTTATCGCCATTCAACGTGTCCAAACATGGGACCTGTTCCGATTTGCACAATCAATTTTGTCAGGAAAAAGGTCTGCTTTTTGCGACTCTGACGTGTATGTCCGCTAAATTGAGGGTTATCCTGTCGGTATTAAATATTCCCGGTCCAACCGCACTGCCGTATAACCTGCATGTATTTACATTATTCAGATTCGACAGGCAACATATGCTAGAACATTGGCGTCGCAAAGAGATCAGCTGTTTTGAAAAGGCAGAACTCTTATTAGAACTGGAATCTGAATGGATTTCCCCGTTCCATATGTGCCTCTCTTTGGAACGCTGTTTCTGCCAGTGACAAATTTTAAGCTTTAAAGGATCCTTTCGAGTTGGTTGAAATAACATTGCTAGTTCAGTAGCTGATTTGGAAATAACAGATATACTAGAAAGGCTTTCTAGTACAGGGTGCGGCAGAGAGGACGGACGTTTTTGGGATGGTTAGTACTCTTCGCCACCGTCTACGAGAGAGGTGCAGAGGGTGCCGTTTGACTCGTGAGATCTTAGCATTATTTTACCAGTTGTCGTTATGGAGCCTTGGACGGTGGAGCGTTTTCGCCTATGATTGTTTCGTCCGAAATAATGAGTCAGTCATCGTCGTACAGCGTGAGTTTCGTCGCCACTTCAACATTCATCGGAATAGAGCTGTTCCCTCTCGAAACACCATCGTTCGTTGGGTTGAATCACTTCGCAGGCGTGGTGAACTGATCAACAGAAGACCAAGAGGAGCGCCGCGAACAGTTCGAACTCCTGAAAATGTTGAACGCGTTCGACAGGTCTTTCTTCGCAGTCCGACTCGATCTGCCCGGAAACATGCTGCTGCACTTCGCCTTAGTGATCGTTCGGTAAGGCGAATTTTGCATATGGACCTCCGCTTTCACCCCCACAAATTGGCCATTGTGCAACAGTTATAGCCCGGAGATTATGCACAACGAATTATGCACTGATCGATCAAAATGAGAATCTCATTTTGGTTATGAATGACGAAGCCCACTTTCACCTAAACAGCATGGTTAACCAGCAACAGTTACACGAAAGACCGCTGCACAGCCCAAACGTAATGGTTTGGTGCGCTGTATCGCAAACTTGCATCATTGGCTCTTACTTCTTCGAAGACGGTAATAGTCGTGATTTTACCGTGAACTCCGAGCGCTACGTCGACATGATCACCAACTTCTTTCTCTCTGAAATACGACGGCGACGTGTTCCAATCCGACGTGTGTGGTTCTAGCAGGATGGGGCGACCGCCCACACAGCCCGAGCATCCATGGACGTTATTCGCCCTCTCTTCCCTGGTCGCCTTATTTCCAGGTTTTTCAATGTTCCTCCTCGGTCCCCAGATTTATCCATATGCGATTTTTTCTTATGGAGACACCTCAAGGCTAGAGTATACGCGAACAAGCCCCGAAATCTGGACGAATTGAAGGGCGAAATTCGCGTGGAAGTCGCTCTAGTTGAGAGAGCGATGCTGGAGAGAGTCTACGCGAACTTCCAAGAACGCCTCCAGCACTGCATCAACGATTTCGGCCACCACATGCCTGATGTGATTTTCCACAGTTGACTGTCTCAAATGCTATTTCCTTGTTTTTTTTATATTCCAACTACCACGAATGCCTAAGGCCTAAGCACCCATTGGGTACCGTGGGGCTATGGGGGATACATGGGAAAGGGGGGACGCCACACGGACTCTGGCGAGGGAACACGTGTGCATGCAACATGCACACATTCTGGCTCCGCCTACGAGAACCGCCAGGTGGTACCTCCGCGTTCGACAGAGACCATCTACCACCTACGGACAATCACAACATCCATAGCCAAGAGAAAAATTTCTCCTGGGACGGGACTCGAACCCGCACAGCGCACGGCGACTGATCAGGAGACCGAACAGTCTACTACTGCGGCCACCGCTGCTGCCTAAACCTGATGTGATGTGAACCTGATTCCATCAATAAATTTGTTTTCGAGTCTAAATTAACTATTTTATGATTTTTTTAAAACCGTCCATCCTCTCTGCCGCACCCTGTATTTACCAAACGCCTGGTGAAGATAAAGAGGTACAAAATGACGATTTTAATAAAAAGGATTCTATATAGGTTGCATATTAAAATAAGTGCTATAGGTCATCTTAAAACAGCTGCTGCTGTCTTGGATTTTAATGCAAATAAAACACAAAATTGGTGGCGATGAGTTATGAGCAAAAAATAAAAAAACTGTGTAATTGAATGACCTCAAAGGTTTTGTTATATAATTTACCACGTGCGTGGTTTTGCTCATTTTTCGATTAAGCCGAAAGCATGTTGAAGTATTATTATTTCCCCATCTTTTTCCGACCGTTAAATAGAACCACATATATAGAATGGACTGTTCATAGACGTTTCGGCCGCCTCAGTGGCCGTTTTCAAACTACAAATTTAAATTGATAATGGTATTTCTGAAAAAAAATATTTAGATTAATTTAATTTCGAAATCAAGAAAATACCATTCTTTGATGCAGGTATGACTAACCAATTCAAACTAGGTATATGGAGTCAGTCAAGGATTTGTTTGTCTCCTAATTCTCATAGTCAATAGTGAGGATCAAGCTGCATACTACAAATGCACTTGACATGCGTTAATCTTTTGACAGTTTCATCATTATATTCATACCTTTTATGTGAGTGTATGCAGCTAATTGTGGTGTTTGATGATTTTAAGACATGGTACTTCTTACATAATTTCCAAAGGGTAGCACAAGCCTTTTTTTTATACCAACTACCACGAAGGCCTAAGGCCTAAGCTCCCATTGGGTACCATGGGGCTATAGGGGGATACATGGGAAAGGGGGGACGCCACACGGCGAGGGAACACGTGTGCATGCAACATGCACACATTCTGGCTCCGCCTACAAGATCCGCCGGGTGGTACCGCCGCGTTCGACTGTCAGAGACCGTCTACCACCTACGGACAATCACAACATCCATAGCCAAGAGAAAAATTTCTTTCGCTGCTGCGTAAAACGCCTAATGAAGTAAGACAACGCTGTCACTTTGGTACGTGTTGGTAGTCAAAAGAGTCAAAAGTGAGCGCTGAAACTAAACAACTTTAGCGACAAACAATGCGGTACAAACATATAAGCTTGGTCCCTTCTAATTTGTTGGAAGTCACTGGGTATGACTGACAATCAGAACTAGAACTATTGTGTATCTTAAAATCAGTAGATCTTTTTTTCTGACACTGAAACCTTTTCATCAGCAACATATAAGAGCGGATGAAAAAAATGACTGAGCATTAAAGTCAACACAAATCACTTCTTGCATGCACTTATCGTCGTGCAGGAGAGTTATATCCCCTATATCTCCCCCACTGTCGACAGGTATGAGTACAGCTTGGATATTCTGTATAAAGGTTTTATAACGTGGGCGGAAGCTACAAGCGGCTGCAAGTACATCCTCTTCTCTCAACTAATGTATAACAAATATTTGTTCTGCAGCTACTTGCTCATATCTAAACTAAAAAGTTGTAAATGCATTGTTATAGAAGTTAAAGATTGCATAACGACTAACGCGGCATTCACACGGAGTCGTGTCTTAGGCCCGTATCGTCAGTCGTCCCTACAATAGTATTGCGCGTTTATGGACTCCTTGATTGTCATACTCTTTTCTCTCCTTCAAAAATTTCTAGATTAGACTCGTCCCGTGTCAGCGTCAGCGCTCTACTATTGTTAAGATATGTTTTCCTTTTAAATTGTAGGAAATTTCAGGCTGATAAAACATGATATAACTCAAAAGCAAGCACAATTTGATGCAAATAGATGTTTGTGACATAACCTCAAAATAGACCGCTGACACGGAGAAGTAGAAAACTATGACAATCAAGGAGGCCATAAAGGTGCCCTACAATTGTAGGGACGACTGACGATATGGGCCTTACTGTGTCGAATCTGATTTTGTGCAGGATCCGGGTCAATGGCAACAATATTTCAATGGTAGAGTTCACACGAACATTCAGTTTTAAGACCGGACAAAAATACCTAACCTTACTCAAGTTGACATCCGATTTGGCGGCTTGAACCGGACCGACAGTGTTCCGGTTCGAGCGACATAAATGCATTTCCAATAAATGCGTTCACACGGTGAAGTTCAGTCGATTCGGTTTTTTTGTCGGAACTTACAACCGAATGCATCTCGCGCCAGCCAAACCAAACCAAACCAGATAAATGTCTCCATTAAAATGTTCTTTAATAAACAATAAAATAATAAAATGCCTGCCCATACATTAATTTTTTGGGGGTACTAGGTTTGTCCTTCTGCAAAAGTATGGGGATTTTCATTGCTCCAATACCTGCAGTTATGTTTATTAACAAATCTATTTAGATAAAATGTGCATTCATCACTGAAGCAGATATTCTTGACATGGATGATATTATCATTCATCGCTGCAGTCATTTGTTCGTAAAACTCAACTCGCCTATCGAAATCATCTCCGGTTAACTCTTGCAATATTTTCATTTTGAATGGATGACGTATGGAGTTTAGTAACTGTGTGTACAGATTGGCCACCATAAATAAGAATCATTTCCACTCTTTTGGCTAGTGTGTAAACCATTTTGGAAGTAAAATCTGAATCGATAAATTAATTTTCATTTTCCCAAGATTGTCATAAATTAAATTCGTTCTTTTCTTCAGCAACAAATAACTAAACAGGAATAAAAATAAATACAGTTCGCCCAGGATATCTGTGTTGATGAAAAGAATGCAGTTTATGTTGGTAGTTTCCGTTTTGAATTATAAACAGATTCTAGATTTGGCAAACCCTAATGGGCAACATTTTGAACACTCATTGAAATAAAAACTGATATTATCGTGTGTTTTTGTTTTCTATCTGAGCAAATTAAGATAAATAAAGATTTTTCTAATTTTCTCTAAAATGAATCGACTGATTTAAAAAATCAAACGTCAAAGTAAAGGACTTTGAAAGACCTTTCAAATAAGCTATTAATTGATATCCCTTGTAAGTTAGAAATTTTAAGGGAATGAGCCGAGGGTGAAAGGGGGTGAAGTAGTTTCTTTTTTTAAAGTTGTCTCCCTTGACAAATCCTTTGACTGGTCCATTAAAATTTTATACGCATCAAGTGTTGATCGTCTATTTACTGTTGGATTCAACCACCACCTTCTTCTTCTTTGACGCCTTTGATAGCGATAATACCAATATAATATAGCAATAGTGTTCGCGTCCATCATCGCTTTCAAAAGACAGACTGACTGTTCTGCAAAAAAAAAATCGTGCGTTCAAACGCGCACCGAAAACACCCGGATGCGGGACAGTCGAACACGACAGCGCCGTATGAACACAACGTTCGTTTTTTTCAGATCAGACAAAAATAAGAGCCGACAAAACTTTCCTCCATGTGAACGCAGCGAAACCGGTGTGTTACGAAAACGGGTCTATTTGGGTTTTTCGATTTTTTTGAGGCCTTTTTTCATTTTCGGAACAATGTTCGAGGGTGAAGTGTCTGATACATTAAAAAAAGACAGTTAACTTTATGCTCGTCTATCATTTTGGAGGGCTAGGTGTCCTTTTGGGAGCGAGATTGTACTACCTGGTTTTGCCAGGTGCCATCGCAAGATTTAGAATGAGGGCTTCGCGCAATCTCAGACCTTTTAAATTATAGTAGTAACACGGTGTATAGGAATGTGAAAATGAAACGAAAAAACAAACGAAATGTTTCCTGGAGGAGGACAAATAAAATATATTGTCAACAAAGTCTCGATTGTGTTGAAGATCATCGTTGGGAGCCAAACGTATACAATAAAGAAACATTTTAAACATATGTAGTTTGATTGGCAAGACAGACATAGGGAATCTTACTTATGATGAATATGTTATTAAAAATTAGTGCAGACGACGAAAATTAGTAGAGTGAGTTGCACAAAAACCTAACCTTACCCAACTATATTTTGACGTATAGGCGACAGTCGAAGAACCCAGAAGGCGGCTGGCCGCATTCAAACAATATGCTAAGATGGCGCACAATTAACATCGTCATTTTGGGATGTTCAGCTAGATTCACGTTGAAATATAGTTTTCGTCCATCAACTTCATCACCTCGAAATAAATAGGGGAGATCTTTTGAAAACATTGAGAAATTGAACCTTAATCTTCCAGCCTAAAACGCGAAAATGTATATCATAGATATTTCCCACTTTAAAAAAAGATAGTTGGTTGGTATATCCTTGTATAGTTTACTCGAATAATAGAGAATACATATTCTAAGAAAGATTTTTCGTAATTCGTACCCAAAATTTTCCTTTTCAATCAATTCGTATCAAATGTCTTACTTTTCCACATTTGCGCTTCTACGAAAACCAATTTTTCAGGCTATTCCAGTATCGAAATGCCATTATAAAGTAACCTTACACTTTGTTTGCGAGCAACATATATTTTTTCTTTCTTATCTGACTCAGCCACGGTGACAGTGTAATTTATGTTCTTAGAATGGAGACCATAACAGCGTCGTCGTATCAAGCTTTCTGCATATTGTCCGGTTTCCAATATACATTATCGTTTACTTCCTATAGCTATTTTCTAGTAGATGCGAAAAGGCACTCAGTTGGACAAGCAAGAGTGGGATGAAAGTTGGAAAATAGGGTTGAATTCAGAGATCTACCCAAAATGCGTTTTACTTTTTCAATAAGAGCTACGACAACTACGTCCACGGTACATTCATAGAGTTTCGAACACTTGTCAGTCTGTGGTTCCATGTATCTTAATTAATGGACAAGGATTTCAGGCTAGGTAGAATGAACAAGTCTACGATTTGTTTGTCTCCAAAATCTCGTAGTTTGTAGTGAGGATGAAAGTTCATACTACAAGTCGGTCAGGCTTCAGCAGCTAGTTTGGCAGTTGGTGACATTGCACATAAAATTCGTGTTTTTAGATTGATATGTGATATTATATTTGCAAAAGGATGTGTACCACTACCTTGGGAT